CCATAAGATCGCCCAGGGCGGGGTATCAGCGGAATCCTGTATTTGTCAATTTGAAGTGAGCAATATTATACATGTATCATTAAAACAGATCCACTATCTAATATCATACAAAACAACTGTTTGTCCTTGTGGTTTGGTGTGGTTGTTTGTCTAGTAAACTTGTTTTGACATTCTTCGCTGACATGACTGGAACGTCAGGGCAGGTTTGAGATGCCCACAGCAGATGCTTACCCTTCACGTGCATCTGGCCTGACTTCCTCATTGGGGTTTATGATGTTCTGATTCCATCGATTTTGTCAGTATATTATTTTTGACTACTGATTGTTGAAGAATGGCTAATTGGTACTTCTATAATTACTAAAGTCGTCAGGTCCATGAGACGAACAATTCACTACAATGTGAGTGTGGACTCGGTTAGCATGGATATATTGCTATCAACTATTGGTATCAACTTGGAATCCAAAATATGTGGATTATTCAGTCAATAAAACATACGTATAACATTCTAGCATAGGTATTTAACCAGATATGTGGACATTTAACATTCAGTAACCATATTGGACGCAATGATTTTTTTGGGCACACCAAAAAAATATTGTTTCTCATAAGACATAGAAGCAAAATAATATAATGAACATAGTTTATAGGGTGGGTACAATGTGACCTGAGATCCAAGCAAGCTATGGGAATCAGACCTTCGCTTATGAGTCTGTGTCACACTCGCCCAAAGACTCATTATTATATGGATAACCAAATGACAAAAACTGCAAAAAAATAGTAAATAATAACCATTTGAATTCCCGTTGCTGTCACTTCCCGTAACACAAGTAGCTATTGTTTCAAAGACTTACCGCTGATATTTGGTGATTGATGAGCAAGTACCCACAAGTTAATTCATCTTTTCATTCAAATTACAGCGAAGACTTAGAACAAAGAGAAATTGAGAAGTCAAAATTAGAAAAGGCATACAGGGAATGTGATAGGAAACTTGGAAAGCTAGTTGAAGGTAACAGTTTCCATTGTTGATATTGATGGTGATTTTAACATGTGGACATCAGTTTATGTCATAAGCTCTATCTGACGCTCTAATATGACTTCACAGCTCAATACGATGATCTACAGTTTACAATTCAGTCATTTACTGGAATATCCACTCGGATAACGAAGTCAAGGGAGAAACTGAGCACTCTAAAAGATGGTCTGACATCATGTAAAGCTCTGCTGCATTGTAGACGGGATGAAATCCGGAAACTATGGTTAGAAGGTGTGGAGCACAAAGAAGTTCTCTCTTTATTAGAGAAAATGTAAGCATTACTTTTGTAATCATCACTGCAATATTTCTCCATGTGTGAATAATATTGATGTTCAATGTAACAATTACATTGCAACTGAAAAGGCAACTGTTAGGTAGGTAGGCTTATTCTGCCGATGTCAAACATTCCTCCCAGACTAGGTTCATTTACTGTAAAACCATTTTTTTTCACTGACATTTTATTTCACTATTTTGATGTTTTGAGCGTATTCTCATTGTGTTTTAATTCCATGAATTTGTCAAGGAAACAATGAGTTTTATTGTTATTTTACATGTTCAGTAGATTTAATTTAGCGGATTTTACTTATCAGTGAAAATAGCAAAATAAAAACCCAGTGGATAATTAATGCATTCACAGTATTTGGCTATGCCACACCCATGTCCTCGCCAGATAAGGTTTGTATATATTTGCTCGTATAATCATTCAAAGCCTAATCATTAATTTGTTGACAGCTGGAAAAATATATGCATATCTCGTGTCAATCAGAGATCAAAATTGACTTTTAAGTAACGCTTCTTATTCCATTATCTTAATTTTGTCATGTATATACGGTATATGATATAAAATGTACACATACTGATATAATTGTACCTATGTTACAGTGAACATGTGAAAGAAACACCTCATAAGTTGGAAGAGTACATGAGCAAGAAACATTATTTACATGCTACAGAGTTACTCACATCAGCTGGTAAGACATTATGCTGTATTCATTGTAGGATATCCGTCATCCGTTTCGGTTTCAATTTCTTCATGTAATATGGTGTTCGTATGCAAGGGATTTTTCCATACAAAAACGATGAATTTGGTTGAATTTTGTTAGCAGTTGGCTTAATATTACCCTGGATCGTTTGGCTGTGAAGGATTGGTATTTTTTTTCTGATCTGTAGGAATCTGAAAAACATGTTTCACAACTTGTCTCTTTAGTTTCATGCCGTATTCAAGATGGCGGCCCCCATATAGTAAATATTGCATTTATTTTATTATCACTCATGCCCCAGCTAACTGTGGAACAAAGCATAGTTCATTCAGTTTATGAAATATAGAACCAGTGAACTGATGTTTTATTTTTAACAAAACTATGGAGCATTTTTTTTTTATTTCTTGTATTATATATTTGCAGTTATAACTTTGGAGGGAAGCTTGTCAGTTGTAGATGCACTTCGAGAGTTGAAAGTAGTACTTCAGAAAAAGAAAGCGGTATGTAAAAATTTGTTTTCTTGTTCACTGTCCTGTGATATCCTTGTTGTGTATAGTATTTTTATTGTTTCTGATTCTTATTCAGTAATAATAATAATAATAACTTTATTGCCTCTGTGTAAAAAGATTTACATAGGATAAGTATAGCAAAATAATAAGATATATGTAAGAATTGTACAAAAAAACAAAAGAACTTAACTAGTATTTAAATGTTAAATAAATCTTTTTGTTGTGTAAATATAATTGGCAAGTTCTATAATTATGCCAGGATCTTTGCTTGAGAGTATATATGTAAACTGTATATTTTTATTGTTGGATGAAAGTAGTGTCATAATTTTTTGGATGAAGTTTTCCCTGTGTGTGTTATATTTTGGGCAATTCAATAGAAAATGTTCTTCATCTTCAATTGAATTTGTATCACAGTTATTGCATATTCTTTTATTTATAGGTTTCTTAAGAAATGAATATCTGCCTTCCTCTATTGCCACGTTATGGTTACTAATTCTAAATTTTGTCAACATTTTTCTTTTATGAGTGTCCAGTTTATTCAAATATGGCTCAAAGATGTATTCTGTTTTAAATTTAGCATATGTTCTCAGTTTGCTATTTTACTTTGGAAATGATTTCTTTCCAGAAACTAGTATATTTATTTTCAAGGGGAAGTTTTTAAAATTTGATTAAATTGATTTTTTTGTTTTAGAAAAAGTGAAATAATAATGATAATTACTGATTTAACCTCTGAACTTCTTTACTGATAATCAGTGGAATGTATAATGGAAATTGTTTTTATCATTGACATGGTCAACAGATATTGTTCTCAGTTACAGTAGAAGGTGAACTATTCACTCTTTTTAATTTCAGCAGATTTGATGTTGAGATATTCACCAAGTTTTCACTGCTTTGAAAAGAATACATTCTATGGTCGACATTACACAGTTACTATGTTTTAATTTTGTATGTACTTGTAGCTATTGACTAAAATAAAACCTAGTGAATATTTAAGCCCTATCCTTTTCACCACTAGTTTCATCTTTTCATCACAGATTCACAAAATAGTCTTGTTTGTAGTCTACATTTTCAAAAACAATTTTGAGTAAAAACTGAACATTGATACAAATTTAGTCTTGCTCCAAAATTGGAGTACATTTCCAGAAATATTGAAGAATATAAGAAGATATTGCAGAAAAATTTGAGTGAGAAAGTCTGTTGGTGAAAGGGCTATACGTTATTCTGTAATATTACTGTAGATTTAGTTTGATTAAATGTGTTTATTATATAGGAACTACATCAAGTATTAATTGATGAAATGCACAGAAATTTATATGAGAAGTCAGCTGTGTTTTCACAGAGTACTTTCAAAAGGGGAGCTTCACATCGTGGATCAGGTAGAAAAGATGTGACCGGCACCCCAGTCAGGAAAATAACTCTCTTAGAACAAGTACATTGTAAATCAAGTAAGTACATTGTTGTTGTTGTTATTTCTAAATGCACATGAAAATCATAAATTACTCTGACCTAAATGTCATAATGGTTTTGACACTCTGAAGGCTTATGATCTTTCTCTATGTAAATTTCAAGAAAATTATCATTTTAGGGAAAACTACCAAAACAATCCAATCAATGTTTAATTGCTTTTTAGTAGATAATATTTGGTAATCGTTGTCCTTAGTAACTATTCAAAATAGCTAGATGTATCGAGCAATGGCTCTTTATCAATAGCATAGAAGAAACTGCTCTTTACCATATTAGCAGTTATGATTAATTGTACATCACAAATCTTTGCTTGATTACTGTGACTAATTACATGTATATTTTAATGGTACATGTATTTTGGTGTTTACTACAGGGACACCTGGTATGGGAGATTTCTTAGATGATGAACCTAAGCATATTGTGGAGGATTTAAATGAGAATCCTGAAGAGGACAGCGTGTATTTCATGTCTATTTTGATTGAGTCTCTGTATGTACTCAAAAAAATACCTGAAGCTATTGAGGTGTGTAGAGTGACTTAAATTTAATCTGTTAGCTTGTCTTGAGATACAGTGGTTAGTTTGTTCACCTCAAATTAGTGAGGCAATTGTTCTATCCCTGTTCTGACTACTTACTCAATATTATAAATTATAATGTCATCTAAACCGCCAAATATTGGATTTCGAATAATGGAATTGCAGTAGGTGGGGACAATAAAGTCATTCATTGCTGTTTACTGTTGCTGTTGTCAGTACACAAACATTCTCACCACAGGTAATTGTAGCAGATTACCTCAATATGATTGGATTTGTATGAGTCCTCATGTCAACCCCCATAATACCCCTGTATTCATCTTGACATTAATTGCATTCAATTCATACTCACTCATTTTTATTATTACTACAGTCTGTTAAGATACGAATGCAGCCAGAGCTGAAAAAAATAGTCGATAGGACAACCAATGAAATATTAGATATGTAAGTGGTGTCTTTGTGTTTTGCTGGCTCACACTTTTTAAAGAAGTTTTTGTTGTAGAATTGCCACAAAAAGTGTATTCACACACTTTATAAACTTTACAAGCATTCACTGCGATGCCATTGGTTAGAAATACTTGTGGAAAATTTTACACATATCACCATGCATGGATTTCTGAGTTACATACCAATACCCTCAGGCCTGAAAAAAATATTGATGTTTCTGCTCAGCATAGATGCATCACCAATCTTGCCATTGCACAGCGCGCTCTGTCGACAATTCATGAAATGTGTTGTGCCTTGTCAAATATTTTCGAAAAAAAAACACCTCACCCCCCCTATTTAAAAAAAAGCCTTTAGGTCTTTTTACCGATGATTTTGCCATGTTTATACTGATGATAGCAAGTATGTGATGCTAAATGCAATATAATTTGACACCTTCTATGTGATTTATGGCTAAAATAAAAGCACTAATTACTATAAATGCATTAATTATTCCCTGGGTTTTAATTTCGCTGATAAGTAAAATCTGCTAAATTAAATCTACGTGAACATTTAAAATAACAATAAAACCCATTGTTCCCTTGACAAATCCATGAAAATCCATAAATCACAGTGAATATGATCAGAACATCAAAATAGTGAAATTAAATGTCAGTGAAAATAAATGGTTTTACAGTATTCAGATTCAAATTGACTAACATAAGGAACACTAATTACTGTGGAATACTTTATTTTCGCTGGAATTAATTTTCGCTGAAAAGGTTTTTTGGACATTTTGCTTTTGAATTTATTTTCACTGATTTTTGATGAGTTTAATGTGAAATATAGGAAAAAAAGTATATTTGCTGGATTTTATTTTCACGGAATCATCCCTTTCAGTGAAAATAGCAAAAATAAATTCCAAGCGAAAATAAAGTATTCTACAGTATATGGATTCAAATTGGCTAACATAAGGAACACTAATTATATGGATTCACATTGGTGGTATTGCCTCAATCATTAAACAATGAATTTTCAACAGATCATTGAATATTAATGTATCTTTATGCTTCTGAGTGCCTGTTTGTTGAAATCTTGTGATGAGTTATACACAGGAAGTTCTCAAGTACCTGTGTTATTTTGACACTTCAGTTTTATAGCACCCTGTTCACTGAAATCATAGTGTCAGATTGTGAAAAACCTTAAACAATGTAGTTTCCTGAACATCACTTTTCTTCACATCAGCATTTAAGAATCCTCATATTTTAACTCAATAAAAACAATTAAAAGTTAATAACTTGTGTCTCAATCAATAATTTTGAAATTTAAGCTAAATTTGTTACCCCTATTTAATAGACCAAATACATGTGAACAACCTTAATACTGTAACCATCATATGCTATTGTTATTCAAAAGGACTAATGATTGATGACATGCTTCTGACATCGTTGATTTCCTTTATTTTAAATCGTAGGAGAAACCAACGAGAAGAGACCACTGCTAAACAAGACCAACCCAAACTATTGCAAGAGTTACTAGAATGTTTATTTGAAAAATTTCGCTGTGTTGCAGCCGCTCATATGATTACACTTACTGCACTGAAACGAATTA